CAGTTGTTCACTTGTAGGATGGTGAGGCCTGTGTCTTGCGCCAGCTGTTTCTTCTGTTCTTCTGACGGGTAGGGATGCTGCAGGAGACATTCAAAAAAACATCTATGAGAAAAGGCTGACACAAATTGTTTAATGAAGCTCCTGGCTGTTGAAGAAAAGGGTTTGATGTGCCTTTTAGTACAGAAATACTTGTTGTAGGGCTCAGGTTATACACACACACACACACACACACACAAAATCATACAGCGTAATGAGAGGTAAAAAAATGAGATGTGTGTTCATGTTCATTGATGCGTAGGTGTCAGTATGTGTGTGTCTGTATGGATGTATACGGTAAGTATGTGTGAGTGTGTGCATATTAACGCCCCCCCCCCCCACCCGATCATTAATGGAATATGAAATCTTGTAATTAATGGCAGCCAAAAAGGCAAGCCAATTAGAAAGTTAAGTGAAGTGGAGAACCAGCTCTGGTAATTAGGCAGCCTCTTACACAAATATATTCGCGTCGACGGCCCCCCTTTCACCCTGCTGCATATGTAATCAGTGAGCGGGGAATATGTAACGTTAACCCGATGGAGTACAGACAAGAGAATATTAAACCTCTTTTCTTTATTGCTGCTGTTTGCCTTTATCCTTATTACAGTTGGTACAATAACTCTGTTAAGTTAACCACTTTGGTGTAATCATTTTTGCAGTTTAACTACTGATTGTATGAAACCGTAAGTGCAGAAAAGCTCCAGGTTTCATCCTTTTTGAACAGTTATCTCCACCCTAGCTTGACATTTAATTTAATTTTTCAGATATTAACTGTCAAAATATCTGCCATGCAGTGAGAGGGTGGAGCAATGTTATATATCTATATATAATGTTAATTGATTTTCACACAGAGATGATTAAACTTCCATTTTTATATGGTCTTAACTTAACTCTTTTTATATCCAACCACATAAGAGGAGGTCATTTTCCACTGATACAAGATGACTTAACCTTTCTCTGAGATTATTCTATATGTATCTGACTCATAAAGATGACATGCATAATAGACAGAGTTCATGTGGGGAAAACAACCGAGACTAACCTCATACCCGGCGTTCGTTAAAATAGCTAAAGTCGAGCCACCTGTTTAAATATATTGAATGAATAAATTGGATAAATGTGAACTTGTGGAGTGTGTTGATTTACATTAGAGTGGGGGGGGGGGGGGGGGGGGGGGGTATCACAGTTGCACAGAGCCTTGTTCATGGAGGACAATGTGCTGTTCATGACTGAGACAAGACGTGGACTGTGCTGAACACCATGGCCGGCCATAAAAGAGGAGAGGAGGGAGGAGGAGGGGAGAGAATAGATTGTTGAAAGGATAGCTTTAACTGGAAATATGTATATAAAAAAATGCAATGTATACATTTACATGAAAATACATGAAAAGCTCCTTAGTGTTTTGCCAAGCAGGGTTTATATTGCATTTTACTGAGTGATATTTGTGCAATTATAACAACAGTGTGTAATCAGTGTGTAAAGAAAATCTGCCACTTCCTTACAGAGCCCCTCCTCCAACACACACGAACGCGCACATGACCAATGAGGGCACGAGATAAGTTTGTGCACAGATGGAAGGCTGACAGGCAGGTAGGCCATCCAGTTATTTTAGCCGGGCCGGGTCAGATGATTGGTCGTACTTTTTACAGTACCACGGCTTCCACAGATGACATTTTTTTTATGGATTTTTTGTCAAAGCACTTAAGATATTCATTGCTATCGGGATGTTAAGAGCATTCCATGGAATATAACAAAAAGTGTATCTCGAGCCGGTTTCTCAAACGTACCTACCCTACCTTTAAGGATGCTAACATCGTAGCAATAGCACACACATTATCGAGTACAAATCTTAAAAATCAACAATAAAAACAACCGGTCTGTATGAGTGGTTTGTCTAATCAGAGCAAAACATTTTGTTCTGTAATTTAAAAGTATTTATTAGATTGATGATAACAGACCACCCCTGACAGGACCCTTATCTAGTTTCCTTCTTATGGTGTCCAACAACACATGTGGCTACTGTATAATAAATATAGTGTCTCTCACAAGAAAACACACTTAATAGTCAATCAGACGTGCAAAATCAGTGCGGCGCCAGCGTTTTCATTTTTTCATCACAGTTTTTTCAGCGCATAATGAACAGGATTGTGTTTAATGCTGGGACGACCCAGCAGAGAGAGAGCAGAGGGAGATTTTTCCCAGCCTCCCCTTGTCCATGTGATTGGTTGTGGGGAATGGGAACACAAGGAGGCTAATTTCATGCGCTAAGTTATAATTGCATTGTCGCCTCTGGCCAAATTTGTGTCCACTTCTCGTCTACAACCAGTTGAGTGTGTCGTTATGTCTATGTGTGTGCGTACGTGCATGTGAACAGTCCTTTCATTCATGCCCTGTGTGTGGATGTGTGTGTGCGCACTATCTTTCAAACTGTAGAATGATCAGCTAATATAAATATTAAAATATCTGTTCATCTGGGGCGCCTTCCACGTGAAGTGAGAAAGCATTATTCTTCAGGGCTTGTGTCATCTGATGTTTTTGACTCATTGAGCACTTATAGACACCACACACACACTCCTACTGCAAACCTATTGAAGCTAATCATGTGAATAATGTGTCTTTAAAATCTTTCCTAAGCTGATTGAACAAGAAGAGATCAATGTGTCTATTCTACGTGACGCAGAGGAGTGGAAGCAGGAGTGTCTTCCTCGTGATATCGGGGGTCTGCGGCCATGCCAGGGGACACAGTTAGAGCACAAATACACCCTGTTTCAGCGTTTCCTCCCTCTAGCGTCCCATCACACACACTCAGACCGACAGATATTCGCAACTAGTCACACACAGTCAGACACGCACGCAATCTCAGACATCAGCACTCGCCAGGAGAATTATGTGTTTGCGTGCTCTGTTCGACAGTTGTGGACTATAACCCATTTTTTTTATTAAAGTACGGAAATAAGTAAGCTTATGATGTTGTTGTATGATTCATAGTTGCAGGAAATCTAACCGACAGCTTATATAATTCATCAAATCTGTTCCGAGTGCATCAGCTGCATTAAGAAATGCTTGCTAAACATGAATGCAAGTATATACTTTACTTAGAATACCACTTTTCCTTAGGTATACAAGTGAATTGAGGACTTTTACTTGTAATGAGTGCTTTTACATCGTGGTACTGCTATTTTTATCTGAGTAAGGATCTGAAAACTTATTCCAGCACTGCTTTCTGCCCCTAATAGAAAAGTATACATGTGTTTTTTACGTACAAAATAACACACACTTAATGGAAGAGTTACCAGGAAGACATGGTCTGAAAGCCAGTTCATCAAATCTGTTTTTGTCCTCCTTTTTTCAAACCACCAAATTAGCTCCTATCTGTCAAAACACTGTGATTTAGATTCTCGCTCTGCAACAAGTCGGCCAGTTTTAATATTGTCTGTGAGTGATTCTGGTGCCTTAACGGCCCTTGGCAGTGATTCAGCGGGTTGGGAGAGAGAGAGAGAGGAAGACCTTAAAAGCAATAACATGTTCTTTAAAAGAGCAGATGGAAAGTTTCTGCGCATCCTTCCCTCCCTTCCTTCTTCCTCCGCCTATCTTAATGATATGTCTTCTCCAAATATACAACTCCTTTCATGAGAGTTTCCACCCTGCTCGCCGCTCTCTGAGCATGTGGGTGCCAGGAGGGGTGTGTGTTTTCCCTTCTCTCAGTGTGTCTTATCAAACCTTCTTGTGTGTGTGTGCATGTCTGTTTTGGTGTGTGTCCATTTGAGTCCAAGACCTTGCTTTTGCTCTTCGCAGACATTAGACTGTGTGTTTATGTTTGAGTGTGTTTGTTCTCATCTGAGCCGCTGAGCTTGCATGGCCTACAAGTTCAGCTGTGCCTGGTCATACATCAGTGTGTGTGTGCGTGTGCGTGTGCGTGTGCGTGTGCGTGTGCGTGTGCGTGTGTGTGTGTGTGTGTGTGTGTGTGCAGATGTGTGTGTGGGGGGGTGAGTAACAGAGCATCAGTAACATCCCCTCCCTGTCTGACCGTCTTCCTCTCTGACCCCCTCAGAAAAAGAACAAGGGAGGGATAGATAGATGGAGAGGAGGAAAGAGAGGAAAAGGGAAGAAGGAGGCAGGGGAGGAGGCATGGAAATTGATATCTAGAGCCCCAGGGGTTTAAAAAAAGAGATAAATATCCTCCGAGACCCCTCTTTACTCCCACCGTCCTGCTAACAGGAGAAACTATTCTGGACAGGGCGTATAAGTCAACCCTTAGAGTTAACAGTGCTGCAAAAATAGTATAAAGTTAATATATTTGATGAATTACTTGTATTAAAGCTTCTTATAATAAGGTTACATTATACATACTTGAGGTAATATTTGAATTGAATCTTATCTGTTGTCCACTTCCATAAGGGATTTCTTTTGTTAACCAAGAAATATTTAAATATATTAATCCTAAAACACATATACTGCATTTTAAATGATACCGGGCATCTAAATATTACATCTCCTTGGTAATGTGTGTGATTCCATCTTTATAAACCTATTCCCTTCTTTAGCCATTAATGTTATGGTGTTATCGCTGCATATATTTCTATTTAAAGCCGCGCTTTCCGAGCCTCCGTGCATCCCATTAAAAAGGCTTGACACGCCACATTAGCGCTTTAAAACTGCAACCATGAAACAGGGTGCAGGGAAGAATAAGAGAGGGAAATCATATGTTGTCATAATCATGTGACGTGCCTCAAAAAAGAGGCCATGACACGGCACAATCTGTGGATAGCAGACGCGGGTCAATGGTATTTCAAGTGAGCTTATTTTACCACCAGATGGTTTGGCTTAACCATGAGGCACATGAATGCCCGAAAATGCAATGAATCACAGTAAACAACTGGTTAACACATTTACTGTAATTTACTTTTATATAATCAGCACAATACTTTGTTAGCAAAAGAAGCGCAACCCATCCTGACACATACACTCAAACAACCCAAAACACCAACAACTAGCATTGTTATTGTGTCTTCTTATTATAGACACATGCATTTCCAAACAT